CATTTCACTTGGGACAAAGTAGAAAACAGAACAAATGACGCTGCTGAAGTCGTGCCACCTGAAGAAGCCACCATCGAAGAGGAAAGTCTACTCAGTTTTAAGAAGGGAAACGGTGAAGCTCTTGATGAAGTTACTACCACTGATGTGACTGTTACCGATGATAGGACATTTCCTGATGAAGTAGGTGAACCCCACGTGAAGCAGAAGCCAACGAGACGGAGACCAGTACGGAAGAAGATACGTCCCGTAAAATTAAGAGACTTTGTTGAATTGTAATTTTGTGTTTGTAATTCTGTACAGTAATTAAGTTATTGTTAATTGCTATTGGTTTATTGTATGTTATTATTGTTCGGGAGTGTTATATTCGGAAGGAATAAATCAGTTTTATTAAGAAAGGACTTGTGTCGCTTAAGTTTCGTCGGAACGAAGTTACGGAAAATTAATTAACAAACGGAGACGTAACAATAATAAAAAATTTTCATTGTGGTAAACAAAATAATAATTTGATCTAAGTAAGAGTTTTTTTCTTCCTGATTTGTAAAAAATCTTTATGTGAAAATAAAAATTGAATATTACTTTCAAAATCCGTATAACTGAATTATGAAAAATCCGTTATTAAAAACAAATCGTATTTTGTGAGGTTTACATTTGCAGGCCTGTGTAATTTTTCACAACGTTATTATCTGTACATCATTGCTAGGGGAAGCTTGTGTCAGTTTTGTAATATGTACATAAAATCAATGTTCTCTATCTAGAATATTACTAAATATTCATATTTGAATTAAACAATAGAAGGAATAATAAATGAATTTTTAACAAAACTATAGCAAAACAAAAATAGAATTTGCTATCTCAAAATATTACAGATTTCTTTTCACCAAAGGTACAATTGAAAATACAATCTGTGATGCAATGCCATAATATTATTCACATACCTAAATCAACTTAGGTCACTGTATGGTGTAACTAAAAAGAACTCAAAAACTACATAAATATTAAAGAAACATAATCATTATAAGAGGCCTAACTGTATTGTTTTTATTTACTGACCCTATTTGTGCTGATGAGCCTTGAATAGGTTAAATTACTATTCACAGCAGAGGGTACAGAAACTCAAAGAATGCATTAGGCCTCCACATCACAGATTGCATTTTAATTTTTACCTTTAGTGAAAAGAAAAGAAAATTTGTAATATAATCATTAAGCAGTTTCCTGCTATATGATATTGAATAATAAATTGAATGCAATGCCATAATATTTTGCACACACCTAAATTAATTTAGATTACTATGTAGTGAGTTAAAAATGACTCTTTTAAAACCCCATAAACAAAGCACTATCTTTAGAATGTTTCTCTGATTATTCTTTCAGTGTGTCATGAGACAATAATGTAATATCTTTAGGAAGCTTCACTGTATAATCTTCCAGTGTGTCATGAGGAAATAAACTACTGTCTTTAGTAAATTTCCCTATTTATTTTTTTGGTGTGTCATCAGACAGTAAGAATGATATTTTTGCTGTAAGCTATTTCTTTTCGTGATATCACAAGGTTATTAGTTTTACTGTAGGTTGTGTCTTTTCACAATTTTCAGAAAATAATGTTTATCTGATTTTGTATTTTTAGATTAAATTTTCTGCGGAGATGTTATCCTAGTTTTCACACAGCTTCAGTCATTTCTGAAAAAGCCAACATTTCAAACAGTTTTCTAGAGGTAAAAGCCAATTTGTTTTAGTAAATAGTGTTAGATAATTTTTTAATCTGATTATGAGTTTATCTTTTGATTTTACTTAAAATGCATTATAAAAAGTAATGTTTAGTGTGCACATTATTAGATTAAAATATTTTTGAATGAAATACTGTAAGCAGTATTTTCTAAAAGCTTTTATGTGTACTGCTTAAAACTAATTTTTTATATTTGTGAACAGGAAGCAGGATCAGATATTGCCCTTTGCTGGAGAGAAATTATATACATGTGTCTGATTGCTTTTGGTAAGTATTAACAAACTGTTCAAACACTTCTATCTCCTGTTCATATTTCTTTCAAACAAGTGGGAAGTGTTTCAGTTCATGAAATACAGATAACATTAAATCATATAAAAATCATTGAAAAGTTGAAAAACGGACTGATCACTACTGGGTTCAGTACCAGCCTTTTCCAGATGAAGCAACTGAGGGGGGGGGGGGGGGGGGGGGTTGGGGTGGTTATAGTCCCCTTCAGCACCACCTCTGAGCACTGTATGTTTCCATTTGGCTATGCACTATATAACTTGCATCCTTTTATGTTATAACCATATAGAGTTTTCTGTTAAAAATCTTTTTGCATCTAAAAGTAGATTCATAAGAAATGTAAAAGATTTCCATTGTCATGAAGGTAGATGCTCTTGACACTTTCCACATAATAGTTTTAATATAAATACAAGTAAGCATGAGTGTATAAGTATTCATTCAGTCTCTTGAATAAAAAAAAGTAAAAATCAACACATTACTTGATATAACACAATGGCAAGGCTACACATTGGATTTTTGTTTTTGCATTGTTGTGATAAGACTGTTTAATGATTGTCTTGCTGCAGATCATGTTGTATTACCATATCATAGAGCCATTGTTTTTACTAGACAGTATATCATCTTGTAATATTATGTAGTGAGTGTTTTACTCTTATGTTATTTCTTGTTATGATGTATAATAATTGTCTTGATTGCACATTATACGTTCTCTTGGTTTCTAAGGTGATTGTTTTGACTGTAGGTCTGGCATGTGTTTTGCTGGTTTTACTTCGATTCCTGGCTGGGTTCATCATTTGGTTTGTTATAATTTCACTCAGTTTGGCCAGCATTGGTGTCACTATCTATGCATGGTAAGTTTGATACAATTATACACAGTTAAACTAAAAGAAGTACTTTGTTTGATGACAGACATGGATGTTACTCCTTCCTTTCAAAGAACTGTTTATATTTGACGTTTTCTTACATGTTAACTAGCATCACTTAGAAACCCACTTTTAGACATGGGATAGCAGCTCATAGAATGACTCAGTGTTTTTTTTTAAATAAAAATTTTTAGCTCATAGCTCCGTCATCTCTTGAGATCTAATTACAGTTTTGGACACAGGAGGTCAAACCCTTTCAATTGACATATAATACTGCATCCAAGGTCTCATAGAGAGTGTTACTCTAATCTTACTTAAAACAGATTCAATTTAAGGGTAGGCTAGTATAGATCCTGATGAGTAATAAACTTGATTAAGGTATAGGCACACCCCATCTTCATGTTGATGGTGCACAAAAATATAGCTAATAAAAAGGAAAAAAAAGGTCTCATAGATTAATGTACTCTAATCCTGCCTAAAATAATTTCAAGTGCCTCAGCTATTGAGGATTCCCTCTTGTTACATATTTCTAAGGTTCATCTTTGTCTACGTAGACAGACTCTTCATGTTTACAAGTTACTGTTCTTGAAGAGAAAACCTAGTGTAATGTAGTCTTGTAATTTGAAAGTAAAATGTTCAACATGTCACTTATAGACATAGACAATAAAGAAAGTTCCAGTGACAATCCTCATGGAAACCCCCCAAAAAAACTTCAAATACATACTCACTATTTAACAAAGATAAAAGAAAGAGAGTCAGATTTCATCACAAAAGGTAGAAAGTAGAATTTGGCTGTTGTTAATTTTTTGTTTCTAGTAGTAAACTGTCATTATAGATATTTGAAAATTCAAATTTAAAGCAGTAAAAGTAAGTAAAAAGTATTAGGATATTAGTGTAAAACAGCATTGATAAATTTATTTTGGAATCTTGGAAAACATTAATTTATGTTTTTTCTATATTCAGATTGAAAACTTCAATATTCTGGTGATTATGACAAAAAAAGAACTAAACTGACTCAGTTTTCTTCATTCATAACATTGTTTTAGGTATTTTGTACAGTGATAAGAAAACTAATTCATCCATGAATGAGGGAATTATGGGTAATCTTTTCTAAGACCTTTTAATTCATGTACTTGTGAATATTGCTTATCTCTACTTTAATAAATCTTTGGTTTTGTTTTGTTTTTTGTTAGGTGTATGTGGAAAGCGTATAAAAAAGAAGTTGAAAAACTAGCCAGTGATGATTCTTCACGGTCAATCAAAGAGGCTAAAGTAAAACATTGGTTAGCAGGAGCTATTGTGATGACAATTTTTACAGTAAGCTATTACTGAAAAAGTCAGTGAAAGATACTTTATGTAGTTAGAAGAAATTGCTATACTGTTATTTTTATCACATTATCCACTGTTTGTTTTGGAATAAGATTTGGTGGAAATTATTGTGACTTATTTTGATAATTTTATACATAATTGCAAAATAAAAGTAAAGTTAGCATATAATATCATACTGTGTTTTATCTTTATGTGATATTTCTACAAGTTAAAGTTTAGCAAGATTTATTTATACTGTAGCTTAATTATACTGATAACTTTATTTATATTTATTACAGAATAAAAAGTAGCAGGACTTGTCATACAATGGCTTATTTTGATAATTTTATTCATTGTTAATCTGCTAGATGCAAAATAAAAAGTAGTGGGATGTGTCGTAGTGTGACTTACTTTGATAATTTTATTCACTGTTTGTTACATAATAAAATGTAGTTTGGAGGAACTATTATTCTGAGAGTCAAGCACACTTTATAAGAATAATGACCTATGTTAAATGCTGTCTTTAGAATTAATTCTTCCAATGTTGGTTGTGCTGAATCTGATGGATTTTTTATGCAGTATTGCTTGACATAGCAATTTCTTCTTATAACAGACTTTTGTGAAAGTTGGTAAGGTAATTCTGAAACTTCTATGAGAGTACATGTTTAGCTTATCTTTGAAGTTAGAGCTACCATTAGTTCATGAAATTGTTGTAGCTTATAGAATTTGTAATCAGAGAAATAAAATATTTTCCTTATCATTAAATAGACTAGACTATGCATTATTTTTACTTACTGAATAATCTAAAATAATTTGACCAACAGTAGAAACCATTACAACATTGCAAATGCTGTTTACCAAAATATATGTACATGTTGCTATTATTCCATTCCTAACATTTTAGCTTTCTCTGAGTGTCAGGTTTTGTAAGGCCAGATTTTATACAGTCTGTGATTTGTTGGTGATAAATGTTGAGCTATAAACAAATAGCAACACAGTCCGCTTGTTTTAAAACTATGTTAAAAACAAATCAAACATATGTACAATGTTCATTACACTGTTGTTTACCACAGTAGTATTCAGAGCTTTAAATAATTGTATCTTTTATGCCAAAGTTCACACAGGCTGGTTTAATTATTTTAGAACACTATTGACAAAACAAATTTTTCTTCACTACTCTGTTATTACAATATAGTCTGTGATAATTCCACTTTAAAAATTGCCACAATGTACTCTTTATTGCTAAACTCACGGTCACACAGTCTAGAACTAGAACTAAATAATGTCTAGAATGTGCTACACAATACTAGATATTCTGATGCAGTAATACTCAATTAAACCAATGAGAAACTCAGAAGGTTCTAGCAACATAATGGAATAAACTTACTATTTTAAACAGTCCCTAATTCATAACAGTTGAATTACACAATGTATGGTTAGTTAGCAGTTACAAAAAAAGAAACCATTAAATATTGTTTCTAAAAACAACTAAATATCACACCCATGCCATATAAACTATCTAAATCGTAATGCTTGCAGTAAACTTTAAACTGAAAGAATCATGTATATCTAAAAGTGTGATATGTAATGTATAGCAATAGTAAATAATTTTGTGAATTTTTTATGTAATTATTTTTCTAGGTATTATTATGTACTTGTGTGCTTGTGTATGGGAATTGTTCTATTTTGTGTTTAGCTACTTTGTCATTTTGCAGCTCCTCTATGCATCAGAAATGTCCTTGCAATAAAAATATAATCAAGAGATTGGGAAAAATTTCAAAAAATAATTTTACTTGGAGTGGAAAGGCATCAACTCTTGTTCTAATCATTATTAATAAGTTCATATGTTTTTTGTTTTTTTCTTAAATCAGGCTGTTAAGTGTGAAGTTGCTAACTGCATGACTGAATAACAATATTTATATGTAAATGGATATTATGCTTATTGTTTCATACTAAATGAAGCATTACTGAAATCAAAGAAGCAAATGGCAAGGAACATGCATGTATTAATTGAGCAATGTTTGTTGCATTGTACATTTTGTATTATTTAGTATTTGACCATTTCTTTTAATCCATTGTATAAGTATTCCTTGTGATCTCGGTCTATCTGGAATTATAATTAGACTCAGTATTAACTAAAAAAGTGATGCATATCTCATTACAGGCTCTTGGAATCTGGTTTTTGATTCACAAAGAGTTTTGAAAAAATCTTTGAATTTCTTATGCTGATAAATGTATGAATAAAGCATATTTTTCCAGCTATAAGTTTACCTGTGGAAACGGTACACATTGAATAGTCAGGAATTTGCCATGAACCAAATGTACAAGTGTTAAATTTGTTGCCTGTGGCACCATGGCTTGTTTCTGTGACAATACATTACTGAATTAGCATGTATAAATCATTCTTATAAGGTGTGGTTTACCCTCTGTAACATGGCTTGACTTAAATAATTTTATGTTTTTTATTTCTGGAGGAAATTATATACTTTATGCACTGCCTTGTACAATAAACTTTAGTTAGCAGGAATTATTATTATGACAAATTTATGATCTCTTTGTTCTAGAATAAAAGTTGGTTGTAACAGCTGTGCTGTAATTTATCTCTTTTTAAAAATATTACATCTTATTTTGGTAACTATAAATAATATTAACGAGTCAGACTGTTAGTTAAGACTGCTGTATTTAATAGGTTAATATGGGCTATAACTATCATATTAACAGCTAAAATATCTGATGTAATGATAAACTGATTTTTATTGTATTGTTTTGGAGTTTGCTGTTGTTGTAAACATTAAAAAAAATGTATCTTTTATAGGTGATATTTCTCTTAATTGTCATCATTATGAGAAATCGAATAAAACTGGTAAGTGAAATTGATCCTTCAGTTAATATTCATTTGAGTCTTACTCGGGACCTAATCAGTGATTGTTGTTTACTAACCATGGGGCTAGGCCTTTTAAACTGGGTTCAGAGGATATTTAGAAATTTTTCTCACTAATTGCTAGATCAATTAACTTGCCTGAGAGGAATCCTGATAGCAAGCCTCATTACACTAATCAAATACTTTACACGGAGTTCCCTACTTCAGGAATGTCTTCAAATTTCATTAAATTAGAAGTTAAACTTAGTTTATATGATACACCTTTAAGCTTATTAAATCTTTTCATGGCAAAATTTTGAAAACATGTAAATATGCTTGTGAAGTTTCTGACCTTGTAATGTCCTTTCAATGTACCTTTATGTGAGCTTTTTTTTTGCTACAAGATTTAGCCTTTAAGTTTTACATGACTTAACTAAAAAGGTTAATTTTCCATAAAATCTATCATTTAAAATGATAATTAAATTAATTTTATTGATTTGAAAAATTTCTTATACTTCTGAATAGTTAGTTATACAAAATATTAAGTTTTTAAAGAATACTTTCCTTTTGTATTTTTTTTAAATATTGTCATTTTTCTAAGTTTTTATTAGCAGTATTTTCTTAAATAATTGACTTATTTATTTACTTGTGTACCAACTTGACATTACAATAAATGTGAAAGCCTGAGGATTGTCATAGAGAAGCTGTTTAATACTTTGAAGGTATATATAGATGTCTTCTCTAACTCTGATAATAAAGTTCCATGAATCAAAATGATACATTTCTCTCCATCTTTCTTAAACTTCTAAGAATCAGTTTTGTTTCTGTTTTCTTTACATTACTAAAAATCTTATGAAATAAAACAAAAACAGTCTCAGAACTTTAGAGAGAGAGAACACTAGGATGAAAATTATATAAATATGTTAGTTGTTCAATAGTCATCAAAATAATGTACTTTAATATTACTTTTTTATGATTATTTTACCTTAGGTAGCAGCTTTATTCAAAGAAGCAGGAAAAGCCATTATATCCATGCCCTTGATACTACTTCAGCCAATATGGGTAAGTGGAGGGATGCCCAAATTAAAACATTCTTTAGTTGAACAAAAAAGTTTTATTTTAGCTAATGTGATTAGGTTAGTTGCCTGGGTGTACTATATGATCTTGAGTTATTTTTACTTTCTACTGAACCAGTGTATGTGTGTATCATATTTTAGAGACAATTTTATAGCTGCTTTATCATTGTACAAATAAGTGTTTTTATAATGTATGAAACAAACACTTTAGAAATTTTATTGTGACATTTATCACCTATATTCTTTGGTAGTACTTTAGTTTTAAAATTGTGGGATTTTTAAAGGCAATTTTTAGGTAAGTATTTTCAAGAAATGACTTCAAATTATTAAAGAATACTATTAAATATGCAAGAGACAAAAATTATTGACCAAACTTTGTATTATGTTATATTGTGTTCCAGTTGAAAACCACTTCATTTACTTATAACAAATACCTTATTTTTTTTATCCAAGTTGAGTAAATTTATGTTTTTGTGGAATAGTTTTTCTTATTTAGTTATGTTAATATTTCTGACTTCATCTTGCTGGCTGGTCTGAACTTGTTTTTCTATGTAAAAGTATGTTTTGTCAATAGACATTCTTAGTACTTGCTGCCGTTCTTGCTGGCTGGTTTGCTGGTTATGTGTACATCCACACATCACAAGATGTTGTAGTAGATCCTGAAACCTCTTATGTCTCCTACCATATCACAACGTTTTTCAAGGTAAATTTTTAACTTCAGTCTAGAACTAAGAGGGTACATAATAACTTATTAGAAAAAAGAAACTATTTCAGTAAATATACCTATCCATTTATTCTATCAAAATTTTTAATCAATGTATCAGAACCATACCATATTGTACTATAATAGTAGCTTTTTTCTTAATCCATTTAGCTGTGTTTAATCTCTAACCCTCTATATACTCATGTTTTTGTAAATATATTTGGTAATGTTTTCTGTGGACTAACTTTGTTATTATTCAAATGTACTATATTTGTATCAGGAGTGATCAAACAAATGAATGCTTCATCTAAACAATGGGCAATTTATGTTTCCTCCTGTACATTCATGAGAGCTAGAGCTTTAACATAATTTTGAAAGCATTGTACTTTACGTCAGTTTATTTCTGATAACTAAGAAGAAAAGCATATTCATTATAAATGGAACAATTAAGTGTATATCAGAACACTAAATATCTTTTAGGTGATGAAGTGGTACCATCTGCTTGCCTTTTTTTGGCTAACACAGTTCATTATTGCCTGCCAACACGTTGTGATAGCTGGATCTGTGGCTTCATGGTTCTTCACAAGGTGTGTTGTTTATTTTACTTGAGTTGATACCAAGAACATAATAGCCTTTTTTTCATCTGTTTATGTTAATACACGAACTTGAGTCTTATTCTTTGTGATAAAAATATTAAATTCCTATTTGCAATTAAGGATTTTAGCTGTTTAAATATTTTTAGCAGATACAGAGAAAATCTAAAAAATTTTAAAAGTCATAACTAACTTTGTACTTTAATCAATAAGTTCGTTACACCTAGTTCAAACAACTGTTAACCATCCAACAACCAAGATATCAAATTGTTGTGTATTACTGATATCATATGTGTGTGCCTAATTTGATTGATAAAATAATCTGGAAATTAATTTTGAATTAACTTTGGTAAGATGCTTGACCACAATTTGTGCTCATGTTAGTTAAAAAAGTGATCTAAAACTATGGATACATAATATACTTGTATTGGTAGTCACAGAGTTTAGTAATAATTGCCTTGACAGTATTGGTGATCTAAAACTATGGATATATGATATACTTGTATTGGTAGTCAAAGAGTTTAATAATAAATACATTGACAGTATTAGTGATCTAAAACTATGGATACATAATATACTTGTATTGGAAGTCAAAGAGTTTAATAATAATCACCCCAATACAAGTATATTATGTATCCATAGTTTTAGATCACTAATACTGTCAATAGTCAAAGAGTTTAATAATAATCACCTTGACAGTATTAGTGATCTAAAACTATGGATACATAATATACTTGTATTGGTAGTCAAAGAGTTTAATAATAATCACCTTGACAGTATTAGAGAGGTAAAACATATTTTTCATGAACTATCACAAGAAGGTGATAAAACTTCTGGTATTGCTTGTAGAGACAAGAGCCAGTTGGACTCACCAATATGGACAAGTTTCTATCGATTGGTCAGATATCATCTTGGTTCAGTAGCATTAGGGTCACTGCTTATTGCTCTGCTCAAGTTAGTCCGAGCAATTTTCAAAGGGCTGGAACGTCAGTAAGTTGTAACATTATTTAATTTTTTCCAAAATGTTATATTTTATAAGAAAAATATAAAATTACTCTTGGTATGTTTGTTAGGTGTGACATAAATCACTACTATATTTATATGATTCATATTTTTCATATATTGTATTGTATGGCATAGATTGTTAACATTTGTTTCATATAGAAATGCTAGTTGTATCACACAGAGCACTATTTGTGTCTTTTCAGAACTGCACGCTGTATGTACAACAGTATATTATTATTCAACAATAGCTTGTTTAATGCCAATCCCCATGTATGTGTTAATTACAGAATAGGAACAAGCAAAAATTTGAAGCAATAATTTACAGTTGTAGCAGAGCTATCACTATAATGTAGTCTCTTGATAAATGAATAAACCAAAACATTCAGATGGTACTGGGTGATTCAGTAGTCATGCACCACTATGCTATTTTTAAGTCCCATCTTTACTACAATTTTTTTAAATTAATGTTTATGTTTTACCAACCCTTTTAAAGAATGTGTGGAACTGTTCCTGTTGATTGGGGTTCCTGGATTGTGTCAGCAGCAAGTTGCAACAGAATAGTTTTTGGGATATATCAACACTTGTTTGTCACATGTATAATAAATTTAAAGACTTGAAGCAGAGATTCCCAACAGCCTGTGCAAAAGAACATCACAAATGCTACTTAAACATGAGCCACAACCTGAATGAAACTGTGACATTTTGTCATGATATCATTGGTGCACATTTAGAACAGCTATAATAGTAGAACAAAGAAAAGTAGTGGTGGTGTATGGCTTTTGCATCACCCTGTTCATAAAAAAAATTATATCAGTCTAAACACCTCTGGTCGGCACTGCACTTTTCAAAAATGAAAAGTGGTTTATCATATATCAAAAACATATTGTGTTTGTTATAATATCATTTAAATTGTTGTACATGATAAATTGTATCATGCGCTGTAGGTCATTTCTTTCTCTTATGATGTTTTTTTACTTGCTAAGTTATACATTAGAAAACCCTGTTTTTGAATTAATTTCAAACAACAGCATGTTATTGTTTTCAGGATGACAAACCACCCAGACTACTGTAAATACCTTCTGAAATGTTGCCAGTGTTGTCTGTGGTGTTTTGAACGGTTTCTAGTGTTTATCAACAGAAATGCTCTTATTGAAATTGGTAATATACTAATAATACATCTTACTTTCACTTTGTTTACATAAGTAATTAAAAAAGTTATTTTAAACATGTTTTTTAGCTTTTTCTCTTTTGGTAAAATGAGAGGAGTTGCCCTACTCTTCTTTGTTTCAACAACATTTAGCTTTGTTAACATGTGAATGAAGGTTAATGCTAAAATAAAAAAATATTGGAGACCTTTACTCAAATAGTTAGAATAATATCTTAAATTACATAACTTTCTCATTTTTCTGCACACAAATCCTTATCAAAATTTCCCAGTTGTTGTAGAAATAATTCCTTGTAAAGTGTAAGCTTTAGAGCTGGACAATTAGCAGAATTTGATAAATGATTAATTGTTGGATTCATTAATAATTACCCTTCCACCTTTTGAAATGTTGTCCTCTACAAACTGTTTCAATTGATTGTATAGTCACCAATAGATTCCTACAAGTGTTTCTCTAATAGGCAGTTTCCACCTATTTCACAATCAACTCAATATGAAAACTCTGCCTAAACTAACCATCAAGTAAAAAACCTTGGATTAATTGAAAATAATAATGAGAAATTATAATGTTAATATTTTGATTACTTGGACAGTTGAAATAATCAGAAACACTAATTTTGATAAGTTAATTACTTTAGTGACATTAAATGATTTAATCCTTAATTTAATTAATGGCATATTTTATGTAATTTTAATTGATGTAATCATTGCTCATAAGCAGTCAGTTAATTGCTGTAAGCAGTGTGTGTAGAAATCCATGTACATTCTCCCAGTTACCCATAGTAATACCCTTTCAAGAAGTGCATCTGTTGTTTGTAGAAATAATTTGTTTACAATTCTTATGGTGCCTGTACAAATTATCTAGACTAATGATTGAGATATGTTTAAAAATAATGTATATACAAGTTTATCAGTTGACTGTACAAATAATAATTTCACAGGTGACTCAGTTATATATAGTAGTAATCACAAATTTCCAAGCTAAAGTTGATACTCAACAAAAAAACAACACTGGTTTACCACATGTTGAACCCAATATACCTCATGAGTATCCACAATATGAAAAACTTGTCAAAATTTAAAGTTACATCAAGTAAAGCTGCTGTTTTTGTTTAGCAGAATTTACAAACTTTTGTATTTATTAGTTAGTTTATATCAGTCAAACAGGGCATTACCATTGTTTCTTTTTTCAATTGTAATTCATGTTATAACTTTAGAAAATTGAAAGTTAGAAATGTGACAACTGCGAACAACCTTTCATAATTATATAGTATAAAGAAGATGGAACTTTTTAATTTATACTTGTGTTTAATGTTATGTTTTGGTTATAACTTGAACTATGCCTAATCTAATTTTTCAGCAATCTATGGTTATTCCTTCTGCAAGGGGGCACAGCAAGCTTTTCACTTGCTGTCAAGTAATGTTCTGAGAGTGGCAGCTATAAACTCACTTGGAGATTTCATCCTGCTTTTGGGAAAGGTTGGCGTTGCAGTCGCGACAGCCTTTGCTGGGCTTGAGATTATCAAGGTTGTTACTTTATTTTTGTCATAAACTGTTTGCTAATACATTGTGAAATATGAGTCTGTTTCAAATTTGTAATGGAAATATAAATTTGTTTTAAGTGTTTTTTAAAATTGTGGTTTCTTTTTATCTATTGAGTTGCAGATTACCAACTTTTTAGAAGGTAAAATATTCATTATACATAAATTACTAATAATTTTCAAAGACAGACAAATGGAAAATCAGAACATTTTACATGATAAACATTGACTTAGTCTTTTTAAGATAACATCTCTATAACAAGTATAATGTTAGAAATGTAAGAGAACTTTAATAGGATATTCATGCTTTATTCAAATTTGAAACAATACTTGTAGACAATTTTTTTTTGCTTAAAACATGTAGTGAATGCTGTACAAAAGAATAAAATTCATGAGAAAATGTAATATTAAGAATGATGTAATCTGATATACAAGGTTTTAATTTGTTCTCTGTGAAGAAGGTCATAAATTTTTATAAATTAGTAAAAATTGTGTTACTGGTGATGTAATATTTCAACTATATACTATTTGTAATGATATGCAATGGAGCTGTTGGTATTTGATCTGTGGTTTTTCATATGTCATCTTATAAATGAAATTTTAAATAGTTTAATTGAATCATTTAAGAACTTACCTTTAATTATAAGTTTGTTCTTTTTTCTTATGTCCTCTTGTGAAGTATTAAATAATTTTGTAGTAGTTTTAGAAATATTTCAATGAACCATTTTATACACAGCATGGGTCAACTATTTGAACTAATATGTTTCTTACACCCCCTTCTTAGGGAGAGCAATTGATTGTATTTATACTGCTATTTTTGGTTCCTATTGGTAAATTTTCAACAACTTTGGATGAAATAATGAAGAGATATATAAATTCCTTATGATCACTTCAGTGCTTGTGACACATACTGTTATTTGAATTATTGTTAAGTTTAAGTCCTTAAAGTTATTTAAGATATTTGAGAAAATGTCATGAAATATTTTGAAAGTAAGGTGATTTCAAAGTTCACCTTTTTATTCTGTTGAGAACTTAATAACAATTTATTGAACCATTAAATTTTTTTGACAGTTTTAAGTTTTTATCTAAATAGCTTTTTATCATTTGAATGTGTGTGTAAGTATATGTGTATGTGGGGCCCCCCCAGTGGTATGTTTTCAGACTTACAACACTAGAAACTGGGTTTCGATACCTGTGGTGGGCAAGGCACAGATAGCCCATTGTGTAGCTTTGTGCTTAATTACAAACAAACAAATGTGTGTATGTGTTGCATTAAACAAAAGTATAAATTAAAAGTTTCATCTTCTTTGTTCTATATAATAAATTAATGTGGCGCCATCTATTACATGGTACCACAAACAAAAATACATAATAAATTTCACACTTTGGGTGTTTAAGATTCTGACAATTAAAAAAATAACTATGGTATGTTCAACAACCATTTTTTTTATCACAGAACATAATTTTAAATAAAAGTACTCTCTTCATAACAAGAACATGATTTTCACTAGGACTGTATGTGAGTGTTTGATTATATCTTTATGAATGTAATTTGTGAATTACATCAATAAATTACATCAAAACGGAGTTCTTAAAAACCTTTTTTTTTCAATAAAAGGTACCACTTTTAATGTATAAAACATTACAGTTAATATCAGCACAATCTGAACACTTTTCCATTGCAGTACTTCCCAGAAAAATCCTTTTTTAGAAAATGTTCAATTTTTTTTTTCAGTGAGGTATGAATACTGTGATTAGTAATTAATAGCACAAACAGCCACCTATAGAGCAACATTTCTGATACTTTTGATAATGAACAAACAACTAATTTTATTAGTTTATCACCTTTTCAAATCAAGTATAATGACATCTGATAATCTGCAATGTGACAGTATTCCTTGAATAAAAATAAAAGCATGAAAAATACTCCATCATATTTATGAGGCATATAAGTTGTAGGTTGTAGAGAATGAATTAGAAGTTAATAATAGAATGACCCCATAACATTGAGTTTTAGGGCCTAGTTGAAAATAATTTGATAAGAAAAAATGTTCATAAACCATGTTTAAGTAAATCATCATAGAACTTTAAATTTAATAATAATATCATGTATCAAAACATTTATATTCTTCACCTCTTTTAAACAGAATAAAGAAGACCTCCAACACAGCTGGGTTCCTGTTACTATAGGCTGTATCTTTGCATTTCTTATTTCCCATTGTTTTCTTGGGGTGTATGAGGTAAGTAATGAGGAATGCTATCTTCATTAAAAACTTATCTCACATGTAATCACTTAAAGTTTACACATACCCAAAAAAAAATTTAATAACAATCATTGAAATTATGTAGGATGTTTCTCAACAACAAATATTTTTCTAATATTATGGATAAAGTATTAATAAAGAAGTAAGATAAAAAAAGTTTTAAATTATATTCAAAAATGCATGATAAAACCTTAGATTAGAACTTATGACAGGTGAAACTTTCTTTATCAAGGCAAAGGGAGAACAATTTGGTGGATCCCAAAATCTGGACTTAAGTTAAAAAACAGGAAGTAAATTTCATTGGCGGCTAAAGTCATGTGTTTGTATTTATGTTTCTTTGCATTAAAAAGATCAATTTGAAAGTTGAAGACAAAATTAGAAATCATAGAACAGTATTATTTATTTGTTTAGTTTTTATGTCTTTACTTTTTATTATTATTCTATTTTGCAAACAAAAAACATAAACTTTAAAGTAGTACAAAAATATGACAATTGTGATGTGATCAAATAGAAAATAATTTTAAGAAAGAAATGAGGTCAAGAATAATCAGTAAAACAGAAAACGTAATTGGAAATCATCAGTAATAATGTATTGATTCACATGAAAACTATTGATTCATGTGTGAATTATAGATAACCACCTACTTCAAAAAACTGAATTTTATTTCTGTTCTGAAGTCTTAGCTTGCACCATCTTCAGAGGTATATTTTAATGCTTACATGACTACACATTTTGGTAAAGATACAATATAAGCCAATAAAATTGATATGTTTCTTGAAGTAAGTTGTCATCTTTATGTCACAATAATGGTGGTAAAACTTTCTACGTATGCTTCAAACTCTAAAGTTTGGCTAAAAATTTCAAGTGTTTATTTTAGGTAAAAGGTTCTGGAAAACTAGTAATATAATTATTTTAATTACACTTAACATAAAGAAAATTTTAATCTAGAATATTTTTATTGTGATCACTGTTATTGTAATTCGGCTATATTTATTATAACTAAATTTTGAAGATTGAAAAAAATATGTACTTAACATGTAGCTACTGATAAAAACTACATGTATGTTCAAATGTTATTATTTAACTGAATGTGCACAGGATCGGTCCATTGGACTGACCTCATATTGAAGAAGAAATGTTGAGTATAATTCAAAATTTATGAAGTGTATCTTCATGAAATATGGCAAGCATTATTAAATAGTACAAGTGTTGTGCACAAAAAATCAGGTTTGTTAATATGGTACATGTACTCAAAATAGGTCTGTAGACTGACAAAGTCAGTCTGACTCCAATTTGACAATTCTGAGTGTAAGGTGATATTTGTGTTAAGAATAAAATAATTTAAAAGTTTGCAACCTGCTTCTTAAATGCATAGCTAAAGTTTTCTTTGGTATCTATAGATTGTATCTTATATTTTCTCTACTCTAACACGAACTGTTGGAAAAGTAGCAATGTAAAGTAACATAAAATGTTGAAAATTCTGATATCAAATTCATAATACCATATTGAATGGCACCCTGTAAAAGTTCTAGGCATGTATGATCCTCCACCCACATCCCCACCTGTGCACATATGGTTAAGGGATGTGCAATTACTTTCTTAAGTTAGGGTTGTAAGGAACCAAACTTAGCTTGTCATTAAGATGGGCTAGTGCTAAACACAGTTCGCTAACAATTGTCTTAAAGTAATTTCATGCTTAATTGGTACTAAAAGATAATCATAATGAAACAAGTTTTATTCCCTGTAGGCCTAAGCTATAACTCAAGTTTTTAAGTACGAACATATGTATGTATTAAGAGTTATTATATTAGTATTGTAATATACATAAGAAACAACACTTGTTACATAGCCACAAGTGCCTGAATCCTACTATCAAATGTGTAATAGACTATGTTGTAAAAACACAAGTGAGTGAATTTAATTATTTTATTTTATTTTTATTATGAAGGCATAAGCAAATGAATCTTATTTTTAGATATGTTAGAACACATAAAACTTTAAGTTGTGGTGGTATGGTAATAAAAATGTTTCCCTCTGTTGGCCAGATTGAAAAAAACGTTTTTTTCCCCTTTTCTGGTAGATGGCAATCGATACTTTATTTTTGTGTTTCTGTGAAGATTGTGAACGGAATGATGGAGTTGAAAAGCCATACTACATGAGTAGTGGTTTGATGGTAAGAAAAAAATTATCTGTATCTAAAAAATTTGGTAATCAGATGTTTAGTGTGAATAAACAAGTTTAATTGGTAATGGATATTTAACTACAAAGTATATGAGAATTTAAACTGCTTACAATAGTTCTTTATGTTTAAAAAATATATATTAAAAAGTACTTACATGATATATCATGTACTTTGTTTGCAGTAGCATGTTCTTAAATGCTGATCAGTGTAATGATGCATGTTAACATTAATGAAAATGATGTAGTGTACAACATTTACTTGCTAATGACTAAACAAAGCTACTCATTCAAAGACTAAAATATACTACTAATAAAGTTTTGGGCTGAAAGTTACTGTCAGTCATAAAAGTCTGGAAAGAAATAGTGATTACTTCTGTAAATATGCTTTAACTTTACAGATTTTAATTTTAAAAGTAAGAGAAGACGATATCTGTTTTAACAACAAGTGGAGTTTTAAAAAGTACTAATGTTTTTTAACATAGATGAATATTAATGTGAAGATCATCTTTCGTTAAACTGTATTTACATATTTAGGAAAGTGAAGGCTTGCGTTATGTGTACAGGGCAATATAATGATTTTGTCAATATCCAAGGCAAATTCCAAAAGGAAGGAAATACAGAACTTATTGTAAGATTTTCAGTTACCATGACACACACACTCATGAGCCATTAAAAATTGAAATTTCATTTTTTGATTGCTTTAAAATTTAACTAAGGTTTCAAAACTTACCAAGGCAACAGTTGGTGGTTCTATGAAATTAAATTTTAAAGTTCATTACTATTTGGATTAGAAACCGGGTTTTGATACATGTGGTGGGCAGAGCACAGAGAGCCCATTGTGTAGCTTTGTGCTTAACTTCAAACAAACAATTTGGATGCTCTCCTATTCACTACATTTTAATATTTTTTTATTCTTCAAATCTTGTTTTTAAACTTTAGGTGTTTGTGGAAAACAGTAAAAAAGCCCTAGAAGCAGAAGAAAATGGAAAGAATGAAGGAGGCTGATCCTACCCTTTCATAGTCTTATTTTGAAGAACAAAGCACCTTTATTTATATTTGTGCATCAATTGTGAATCTAACATAAAGTGTTTTCTATAATTTTGGATGTATTTATGTTTATCAACATACAAATCCTTACAGGCCAAGTAATGATACAATAGACCAAGTTCAAGCAACATTATTTTAAGTACAAGACTGCAGAGTTGGGCTGTGTAGGCCTAACATTGTTATATTTTATATCAATTTGATTAAATATTAGAACAAAAACTCCTTCACAAATCATCAATTACAAAAATATAATTTCAGCCTTTGACATTTTTTTCATTGAAAAACGTTTTAGCTTTTGCAGAGTTAATAATGTAAATTCAAAGTTAGTTGTCTTGGTTACTAAAAGCCATTCTCCAGAACAACTTAAATTAAAATAAGTGCAAGCATAGTTTTTCATCATTATCTACCTTGTATCATTTCTAAATATTTCTAAAAAGACTGGAACACTGCTGAGTAATTCTTTTCATTCAATTAAAGATTTTTTTTTATTAGCACTAAGAATTTCATATGAAATGGAAAATTCTCACTTAGTCATAGATATTTTTATTAAATGATTCATTGTTTTCCACAAAGATGATTAAAAGGTTTTGTATAATGAAAAAAATATCAAAAAATTAATTTTGATCTTATCCTGAAACCAAAAATAACAATAATCCTTGATGACTTGTTAGTCTAAAATTGTTTCTTTAATGTTTTCACATATTATTGTCAACAAAAAATTTCAAGTGAATATCAGAATTAAAAAAAGAAAACTTCACTGCTATTATAAAAAATACTGTAATCGGTATGATTTCTTTTTAATTTATTATTTTATAAAACTGTTTTATGCAGAGGTAGAGAAAAACTAGATTGTGTGTATGGAACATTTTTGTGAAGTGCTGGTATATTGTTTTTGCAAACTCCTCATTAACATTTTCAGGCTTAACTAATATGGTTCTTAAGGGCAAATTGTGAAGTGTTATTAGTAATTTCTTTTTCCAGGCTAGTTTCAAGTAAGAGATTATATTTTTAATGAAAACTGCAGACATTTAATTTTCATAGCTTATAAATGATAATATTTGCCCTTAGGATTTTCTTGTATATTTTTATAACTCTTTTTGCCTTCAATTTTTAAAGTTACTAAATTTTTTAACTAAGTTTGGAAAAAGAAATGCTATTGTTAACTTTTTAAAACATTTTTTTTTGTATTTCCTTGCTTTAAAATTGAGTTTTTGAATGCACTGTTGTCTGTGGTTTTGCCATGTCTGTCAAGTTTTGCTTTGTAATTTTGCACATGATGCATAATGAATCAATGAATAATCAACAGAAATTAAGAGAGAGGGAAGTAAGCCTGAAAGTGTATCAGATTTTGAGGAATGCCACTGAGTATAATCTGGGTTTTAATTTTGAATATTGTGGTCACAAATATTTATGACAAAAATCTAGAACAGCATTTCCCAAACAATGTTAAATATTTTATTTAAATTTAAAATCATGAATATTCTCATGGAGCACCTATCAATCTCAGATGGAACACCAGTGTTCTGTGGAACATAATTTGGGAAACGCTGATCTAGAACAAATTTAAAAATAACTGATTTCGGAGATTCTTATGTCATGTTTATGTGATTTTGTGTGTGCGTGTTCAAAGAAAACTTAGAGGATAATAAATATATTCAGAAACGCTAGCTGCGTTTTCTAAATGTTGTTTACTTTGGTTGATTTTGATGCAAAGAATAAGTTTCTGTAACTAACTCAACTCAAATTTAATTTATCTTCATACTGAGTTATATAAAAATAAGTTAGTGGTAGATGTGGTGAAGAGTCAATAAAGAAAACAACATAAGAGAGACAGATGATGACTTTAGAATTAGAAGATATTTACTATTAAAAAACGTAGTTACAAGTACATAATTAAAATACATATTCACTTAAGTTATGGCACTTGCAACCCACTGATTAAAGTTGTTTGGTTATTACTTTAGGCCTACTTTACGTTTGTTCAATGGGTATAAAAGTTTCTGTGATTCATCTGTATGAAACTTATTTATTACTACAGTATTATTTGTGAATGTTTAAAGTAACAGTGAGTGTTTGAACATTGGAGTAGTAAAAACTATGCACAATTATTCATAATTATGTGTGAGGATGCTATAGTTTGTCACAAGCATCATCACTTATACATAAGATGTGTTCGAGTGTGCCTTTATCACGAGCTTTAAGTATTAAATATTTTAAGTATTCAAAATAAAGAATTTTATATAGTATAATATAAGATTGTTAAAGTTTGAACATAAACATGTATTGTTGATGTTTTCTGTACACTTTATGGTAGCGATTGTTATTCACCAGAAGTTGCCTTTTTCTGAATACTAAACATCCAGTAGAAGGTTGCACAAACTTGCAGTTGGCAGTAAAAGAAAAATAAAATTAAAGAGAGCATAAAAGGAGTGCATTTTTTATTACAATACAATAAACTTGCGACAAAAACAAGACATCTAACAAAAATTTAAAAGTACAGTTACAATATGAGTAAAATTTATTCTTTTAAAATGTTTTATTATAATCTTGAAATAAAAAAATCAAACCAATCAGAAAACCGAACAAATTTAAATAAATATATTGTTTTTATAAAATTTTATATTGATATTTACATGACTACCATCAGAAGTACAAAATTATATATATATATATATATATATTTATTTTTTTACACTAAAGTAAATATATAACACCATTCTTCTTAAAATGATTTTCCTTTTCCCAGGATATAAAAAAAATAGACATATTGTAAATATTTATATATACAAACAAACTTTTCTACATACAAATTTTAAAATGTTCTCACAATGTTACGTGATATGACATTTATAATCAATCTTTTGGGTCACCTGACTATATATATATATATTTAGCAGGTGCTCTTTGGACTGGCAAGCAGTTTGGATGCTCACGCAATAGGTATGCATAAACAAATGCCATTTTAATCTGCTATGGTGTATTTCCTGTTAAAAAAAAAAACAACAAAAAAGGAATATAGGTTTAATCTTATAGTTGTTACTCGTCTTTAAACAGGTTTTTCATAATAATACTATAACTTCAAAAGAATGTTAAACTCATCAGGATTATAATGTTTGAGAGAGGTAATAATGCACAGCTATTTTGTCAAGATGGTGAAAAATATTGGCAGACACACGGATGACAACTGACACTTTAAGACTGACAAACGAAGAAACTCAGATTTGGACAAATTGTCCTAAAAACATATTTAAAGAAACCAGAGTTATATAACTTGAAAATATTTCAAATACAGTCTAGAGTTGCTAAACATGACCATACTGACAGTTAAACGCTCAAACCATCAAGTTATGTTCTTCCAATTACTTTCTTTTTAATTTTAGTAATTGAAAGTACTTGCATACGAGTCCGTTTTGTTGGTATCAAACAAGTCAAAAATATAACTTACCAAGAAACGTGTATTCTCGTGCATTAGGTAAACCCTCTAGTACGCATGCACTCAGGGCACTACGGTTAAGATTCATGCTGGTGACTTCTTTCCATTCATTGATAGTAGCATCATAGCTTTCAACGTATGGGACAGTGGTGCTCCCTGTTAGGTATATGTAAGAAGATTTAGTTTAAATATAAACCTTTAGTGATGCAGACGTTTGCAACCTATTTCAGTGATAGAGCGACACTTTTGTTTTAATTGCGACTACGTGATTAGTCCTGTTCATCCTATCCTCTCACGTGCATATCATGGAATTAATATTTTAATTCGGTTGTTGATACTTACTTTTGATTAAGTTTAGCAAAGAGAATTAATTGGGGATAAACAGTTGAGATTTTGAGAAATGTGAAACAGGCGATCAGCCAAACAAGAGAAATGAAAACTTGAATACGAGTTAGACTTGGAAGACGGCAAAGCACTAACGGTGAAATATAAAAAAAAATCAGTTAAAATGACTGAACGCTGAGTACGTGAATAATTTTGCACTTACGTGCATAAAGAGCCAGGAGGAAGCAAACACTAACAACAACTAAACTTAATATGTCTGACATTAATTATTCACTTTCCCGAACAGGCTTCCAAGCTAGAGCACTTAACTGTGCTGGCCAGTTGGGCTTATTGTCTTTTTTTTTATATGAATATTAGGCCGTTTACATTGTTGTTGAATTGTGAAAATCTTGGTCGAATAACTTGTGATGGAGGGGGAAATGGAAAGTTTAGAATATCACAGTCAATTGTCTTTTTTTTTTACCTTTTTTATTATTATTCAAAACACAATATACTGATAAGAAAATACTCTACAATACGTAGAGCTGAAAATATTTTGTCTCTTTTGTTTATAAATTATTTCCGTCAACGTGCCAAATTATCACATTTATTAAAACTTCAGAATGATCCTGATGCACCTGCATTAACTAATGTGACGCAGTCTTGACGATGACAGTTAGTACATCTATATAGCAATGTGAATAAATACAGGTATAAACAATCATAAGAGTTTAGTTACAAAAAAAAGTAACCAACTACCTTCTATTCTATCAAGAAACTAACAACCGTTAGTCAACTTTCTTACTACAAATTAAGTACTCACCATTAAATCCTCCAATTACAAAGAGGAGATTGTCAACTATGCCAGTCGTGAAATTGCTCCTAGGAGTCAACATGTCGGGGAGGTCAGTCCACTGATTTCTGGTGACATCATATTTAGCTACTATAAACACAAATAGAATCGTGTCAAGTACAATGTAGAAAATAGCCTTGCACGACCTACACAAATACCATATTAAGTACAGTGTAGAAAATAGCCTTGTACAGCCTACACAAACATCATCATATCAATCTATTATAAAAAATAGCCATTTATCGTACTCAAATACAATCGTGTTAAATAACGTAGAAAATAGCCTTGCACAGCCTACACAAATACCATCCCCTCAAATATTTTGAGAATCTTGCAGTTACTGTCCATTCAATGATTCGTCATCTCAATTACAAGCACATTTTCACAACTACAGCAATGGGAATTCAGATTCTTCGACTAACAACGATGAAGATCCATCCACGTACTTTGCCTCTTCATTCCCTGTTTATGCTGTAACTGAAACCTCAAAGTTGCTTGAAACAGTACTCCAATAGGGACCAAGCAGATGTTTCTCCTATTCCTTTTTTTTTCATTAACTTAAATATATACTGTTGGATGCACGTTATTCTTAGTTATTTAAATTATTTAGTGCGTTCTGGCATTTATTTTTTGGAAATCGAGCATAGTTCCATATTTACAATTCCTTTGTCTCAATCGCCTTTGAAGTAGTACCAAAAAATTCACAACAGGCAACTACCTAGCCTCCAGCATTTTCATGAGACTCATTGCCTTCAAAGAATGAACGGTCAATTTTTCACACACGCGTAACTTAGATGGAAAAAACGATAATAATATGCTATGTCTTACAGCAAAATGTTATGCTTAGACAATAGTAGAATGCAATGCAGAATTGTATATTGTAGAAAGATAATTTGTATAAAATCCCTGCCTTCTGGTACCTTTCCCTGGACTCTGTGGGGAGTTGATTGTTTTTCCAGACCCCCTCCTTATTGTCTAATGGTTATCTAATATGTTTTACATCTCATATGCAAAACAGGAAGGAAGGGGGGGGGGAGGTGAATAATTTCTGCCTATGGCCCTCCAAAGCCAAAACACAGTTCTGTTTGCAATGATAACAATGATTTCTCTTTTAGGCAAACAAATAAGCTGTTTCTTTGTCTGAACGTGGGTAACTTACTTTTGGGATGGCTAATGCTATGAAGAAGGTTGCATTCATCCTCAGAACCGAGATTTTAATCAACGCAAAAAACAAAATTCCACTTGTAATACTTTACCATCTCACGGATTAGAAAAATCTTCACATTTTACAAAATGATCCAATAACAATGACATTTTCCGTAACTGATCGTGTGCGTGTGTGTTTTAAAGCAAAGACACATTGGGTATCTGCTGTGTCCACCACAGGGAATTGAACCCCGGATTTTATAGTTACAAGTGCATAGACTTACCATCGTCCTACCGGCGGGCCACTAACTAATCAGTTGTTGCCTATACCCATAAATAACTTATGCCTTTATGATACTCGCGTGCATTATAAGTTATATGATACTGACAAAGGTCTCACTTGTCTTGGATGTTCTCCTTGTACCTGTCTCCATTATGTAACTTGTGATCACATTGATAATCTCGGGCATGGGTCTAAGAGTCAATTTTCATCAAAGAATCTTTCACTTGTACATGAGAGTTAGTTACTTACTTAGAGCTGTACCAAAGATAGAGTGGTGCACCTACACAAAGTGCTGACTCATAGGGGGCACAAGTTTGCTTCTTTGAAGGTAATGATAGACTGATGTTTAAAAAAGGGGTGCAGAATATATATCTTGCACAGAGCACCATCAACGATCAGTGCTGCCCTGTTTTCCAAATATCAATGTCAACATATTAAAATATGAGCTTATTACAATATATTTCAAGTTAAAGGCCACTCCACTGTTTTCGAAACCTCGGTATCAACATTTTAAGAGATGAACTTATTACAGTATGTCACAAACTGAAGCCCAAACCATTGTTTTCAAAACCTCGGTATCAACATTTTAAAAGATGGACTTATTAAAATATGTTACAAAGTGGATCCCCCACCACAGTTTACAAACCTCAACATAAATATTCTAGCTGATGAACTTACTGTAATACACTACAAGTTCCTCCCCTCCCTTCCCATATTTCAAAATTCAACACACACACACACACAAAAACAAAAAACGTTCGAGTAACGATTGAACCTACTACATTATATTACAAATTGAAAGTGAATGTTTTAGGTACAGCAGAAAATACCTTTGGACTACATTAATTAAGATAAGTGAGAATAATCTCTTCCAGCATATCTTACCAGTGGCTAGCCTTGTCATCCCATTAAATCCTCCAAGGACGTAGAGGGTGTTATTATACGCTGTTAAACTTACTCCACTACGAGGAGAAGACATATTTCTGATGAATGTCCAGGAGTTTGTCAGTGGATCATACATTTCAGCACTGTTAAGAACCTCATGACCATTAAAACCCCCAGCCACATAAATTTTTCCTATATAGAAGAATAATATTTTGCTATATCATATGTACATATATATATATATGTGTGTGTGTGTGTGTTTGTGTATTTCACACAGAAACTATAAAAATAGGTAATACATTTTATTTGACAACTTAAGGTTTTCCTTGCATAATTCGATCATATAATCAATGTTGAGAACTTAATAGAGGAATAAGAAAGAACATATATATATGAATGGTCTAACTCGTTAATTTTAAAACTGTAGGACAACTTAAGAATAATAATAATATACAGTCACAGAATGTCTATAAAAATGGGCAGAGGCACTTTGGCTTGGATAACTGCTTCAACATATGGTGGCATGGATTGCACAAGATGTGGCTTGTAACCATTTGTCAATGAGCACTATGCGGTGTGACTGGTTGTGATACATTGTATCAAAACATTCCACGCATGCTAGATAGAATTGACCTGGTCAAAGTAAATGGACAAATTCACTGTCATGTTCTGTAATCTAGTCCTGCATAATACAGGAAATGAAATGTAATGGAAATGAAATTCAGAACCATTCTATTCACATACAGATACAGAATTAGCACTGCATAATGAACTTGGTATGTGACAATGTCTGAGTATTCATGTGATGTCATCTGGCCCTGAAATGGGAAAAGGGGGTCACAACCACGGAAGCCCTAGACCATGGCACCACCTTCAGCACCCTGGACTGTCAGAATGATGCGTGTGGGGTCAATGCTCCAACAGATCTCATCCACACATAAGTCTTTCTATCTGTTGCAAATAGGGTGAAACGTGATTTACCAGATGATATGACCTTCTTCCATTGGTCTGTTCCTCACTCGCGATGCGCCAGGTATCATTGCAGATAAATTTTCTTGTTATTTGCACTGATAGGGTTTGCTCACAGATGGCATGCTACCAAAAATCCATAATTCATAGCTCCCGCACATTGAGTGGAAATAGGTATGTCTAATCAAATTTTGAAGGTTACTGTTATTTGGTTTACTGTGGTACATCTGATACTTGTCGCAACACATTACATATGTCTGTGGGCTTACTTGTGATCTGAGTTGTGTTTCCAGTGCTGGTTTTCTACAAATGTTGCCATTTCAGGAATACTCATAAAACAGTCTTGATGGATACATTGATCACTTTATTGAGGAATTAACTGGTTCAATAGGAATTCATTATCACGCGTCCTGTGAAGTCACTGAGATCATTCACCTGTCTCATGATTGCTATAGAATATATATATATATATAAAACCCTCACACAGCTCATATTGATGTAATATGTTACATTACATGCCACATAAGTACTTATAAAACAATTATAACCAATTTATATACATTATAGAATAAAGAATATTCTCTAATTTTCCAGTTAGGCAGTGTGTAGGTACCTGAAATGTTTAGTTACCATTTAATGAAGCAGCACTCGCATCACTGCGTTGCCGGTTCATATTTCCTATTAGAGTCCACTGATTTCTTTGAGGATCGTAACTTTCACCGGTGTTTGTTCTAATACGACCATCATAACCTCCAAGAGCATAGATGAGTCCATTTAATACAGCAATACTGATGTAACATCGAGCTACATACATGCAAGCACGCTCAGACCACTCGTGTGATATACAATCATAACATCTCATAGAGTTGAAGCACTGGTTTCCATCAAAACCACCCACCATGTAGATATAACTTTCTAGTGCTACAAGACCATGATAAGCTCTGTAATAAAAAGAAAAAAAAAACGTGACACCATACTTCATCATTGTCTTTAGTATTTTCTTTAGTTCAATGTTACAAAGAAGAAATAAGTTTAATTCAAAAGTGTGTAGTTAAGAAAAATACCACTTTTATTCCCAATATATATATATATTTAGAAAATGTCAATATGATTTAGGTAGTATCTATATAAATAATATGTTGCGTTTGTCAGTCTGGAACTTTTTTGCAATGAGTATGGGACATGATGGCACAATGTCGTGACGACTAGCTTCGATTTTAACTTTAGTTTTTTTATTTGGAAAGTATTTCACACAAACAATATTTAACCTGCGTGTAATTTCCTAAAAATTATACATTACACCAAGTACAATTGCTATGTACTTTTTCGGCGCATTTAGGTCTAAAATGCGCAAGCGCAGTTCGTTCAAAACCACATGCTTATCACTTTGTGAACATGCATTCAGATGTTTCTGCATATTCAGCTGTTTTTCCTTCATTACAACTTTACATTTACTTTACTTTGCAATAATTTAGCTTCTGTTCGTTTCATAAACTGCTATAAACACATTTTATCTTCCTCCCAGTGGCACAGCGGTATGTCTGCGGACTTACAACGCTAGAAACCGGGTTTCGATGCACACTGTGGGCAAAGCACAGATAGCCCATTATGTAGCTTTGTGCTTAACTTCAAAGAAACATTTTAGCTACTTTTCTCTTTACTACAGGTTTTATTCTTCGTTTTTTTAAGTTTCTTTGTTTGAACTCGTAAAACTGTGTCATACCTTGAAAGTTAATAATTATTTCATACTTTGTACACTATTATAAATACCATTACTATACCTTATTGTTTACTTTACGTTTAGTTTTACTAAGTAAAGTTACGTACGTGTAGTTTTAGAAAGTTAGGTCTACGAGAGTTTGGTTTTCTGACCGCGTAAACATTTTTCAAATAGTCCACAATATATCGATCTAACACATAATGCCTGCAAGAAAGTGTTGTTTAAATGCCACGCATGAAAATGAAAGAATAAGGAAAATTCAAGCGAAGGGCCGAAAACTACCGCGAATGTTTTGCTGGTCGTGGCTAGTATACAAATAATTGTCCAGCAAAATAGTGTTATAAAGGTAATGGAAGAGCTCATCAAGTAGTACAAGATGGTAGCATGTGTTTTCTACTTCATAATTTAATACAATTGTTTGTTGTTTTCGAAATTTCTATATTTTCTTTAAAATCAGTTTGGACGTGGAAAGTCATTCAACTAAATACACCTTAACTTTGCTTCTTGCTAGCTCTGTTCGGGACCTCATTTACTAACTGGAAATTGAATGAGTTTCTTGTAGAAAAAAAAAGAGTTCATGAAATTCAGGAATAGAAAGTAGTCTTTTCAATCAGCAAAATGGCACAGGGTTTCGTGCACTCGCCCATGAGTAAACGAAGGTCACCTGAATAAGAGGTTTCATGTACAAACATGGCTTAAGAAGTTTTTGTGTTGTTTTCTTGCATCAAAAATCCTTATTCCACTTTGTTTAACAGATTTGGCTGCAACTTTTCTTTACTAAAAATATGACTGAGAAATTTTTGTAACATTTTCAACTAAACAATTCATTACGGAATCTGGTAAAAAATATATGTTTAGTTTATTTGAAATCTAAGCATTTATTGTTTTCAATACTGTTTTAAACTTTGGGTTCATTTTCATTTTGTAGTTTCACTTACCTTATTGATGGCGGAAGGGGTGCTAGCACTGGATTGGTTATAGAGAGTTCGCTAAGATTATACTTCTTTTCTCTTGCTAATTCAACACACTTGCTCTTGTTTCATTATTTTATTTGTAACTACATCGTTGTTCTTATTTGTTAAAAAAGATCATTTTTGCAAACATTTCTTAATTCAAAGCTTTCTTTCTGACGAAAGGGATTACACACTTTGTAACTCGGTATCCTTTGAACTTGCCCCCCAGTGGCACAGCGGAATGTCTGCGGACTTACAACGCTAGAATCCGGGTTTCGATACCTGTGGTGGGCAGAGCACAGATAGCCCATTGTGTAGCTTGGTGCTTAATTACAAACAAACCTTTGAACCTCAGTTAGTAGATCATAACTTACTACTCTGTGTACCACGATCACCAAACATAACTTCATTGTTTGTTTACTTAACAAACAAACATCGTGTTTCTAAGCACCCACGTGAGAAAATAAAGGAGGATACGTTATATGTCAACCACACTACATCTGCCATATCCAGTGCGGAAGAGGCCTTTTACCCAATACCAGGATTCATCAGGCTGTCTGGAAAGCAACAGATTTAGGTAGTGGTGTAGGCGATATATCATCACTTTTGATGAAAAGCGACTGTTATGGATTAAACAAATTAATTATAATTTTTATCAGTTTTATTTAAGTCACTTACAAATCAGACTTTTAGGGTAAGAATTAATAACACAACAATTATATTTTAACACCAATTATTTATTAATATTATATTTCACATATCACAAAACCAATATTTAGCGTTCTTAGTGAATAACTATGAATTCTAATGGTTTTTATTTATAATCGATGTGCATTCCATTCATATTTTTAAACGTTTTAGTGTACACTTGCAGTATACCCCCAGTGGCACAGCGGTATGTCAGCAGACTTACAACACTAGAAACCGGGTTTCGATACCCCTGGTGGGCAGAGCACAGATAGCCCTTTGTGTAGCTTTGTGCTTAAATACAAGCAAAATACTTGAAGCCAATAAAAAAATGATGTGTTAATTTATTTAGTTTCTATTTCTAACGCCATCCTGCCATTACTATATACCCTTAATTTAAAAAGTACTACCTATCATCAGTAACCTCTACATGGCACATTTCAATTATATCAACCCTATCATCAGTAACCTCTACATGGCACATTTCAATTATATCAACCCTATCATCAGTAACCTCTACATGGCACATTTCAATTATATCAACCCTATCATCAGTAACCTCTACATGGCACATTTCAAAACTATCGTCTTCAGAATAGCCAATCTAAGAGCCCTGGCCACAAACTATAGGCAACATTTCAGAATTAATGAGCCACCTAAAAAAATAACACCTAGATACAATTCAAAGCAGAAATTAAAAAAAAGATTGTAAAGGATATAGAAGCAGTATAAGTTCAGAACAGTGTCCAGAAGATACAATACAATAAAATCACAGTTAGTAAACACTAGACCACCTAAAAACGCAATGGAAAGCAAAAACCATTTTTTATAATATCATTTGTAAATGTGGATTCCAATACACTAGAGAAATAACAGCACGAGTCAAAATTCAGGATCATAATAGACATACAAGACTGTAACACTGGTGTGTCTGCAATAGCCTATCATTTAAACATATAACAAATGGAACATCGCTAAGATAACAATACACATTAGAAAATATTAAAGCTTCCATATCAAACTGACCGATAATACACCCAGTTAACCAAGCATAGAAGTCAGCAAAACTTGGATACCCTTCTTAAAACCATTTATATAGTTGATTCATGTTTTAATGAGTTGAGAACTCAGACATCTATTTTTTTTCCAACAAGAAGACCCAGAATTATGTCCTGACTCTTCCCACCACACACAGTTCTCAGGACTTCCCTGAATTTGAAAGCATATTTAAATCCCGAACGTAGGATGTAACTGGTGAGTAATTAGTATCTAACAATGGTAAAAAAAAGAGTAATTGAGCTTCGTTTATCCAATAAAATACTCACTAACAATGATAACAACACTGATATGATAATAGAAACTTCACACAGTACCTTACAATAATAAGAAAATACGTTTAATCTACTTAAAAATACCGTGATGTTAGTATCCCCTGGCGGAAACTTAATAATATGTTACATCAGCGCTGGACTGAATTAGTTTACCTTGGCATTGTGTCGCTGTGGGTGCTCAAAAACCATCGGTTCGCCCTACAGTCATATGTCTCCACTAAGCTGGTGGCACTTCCACTACTCCATCCTCCAATAACAAACAAGATCTCGTAAGGTACGCGAGGCCGCAAGAGTGGATGCTGAAATTCTAAAACAGGTCTGTTGGATCCATTTGTTTCCATTTCTACAAGAAGCACAGACGCTTCAAATAACGCAGCCTGGCATTCATAGCTCTCTGTAACATACGGGTGTTTGAAGACATGGTCAACAAAATACCTACATAAAAAGGAGGGAAAGTATCGAAAACATATACGTATTTCAATGAACATAATGAAAGTTTAAATGAATGTAATTAGCATAAAAACAAAACTAATTTTAATGAAAACTTTGAAAACCACCAACTGTTTACAAAATGTATACTTAATAATGAAAAACATTTTTTAAGTTATTTTAGGAAAACTTTAGAGGCGCTTTTTCGACATCTTCTGGAGCCACTATTAATGAGTTGAACATCATGTGTGTGAGTGAATATGAAGTACAAGTAATATGCTATAGCAGTTCAACCATTTAAATACGTGTCTTTAATACTAGTGTACAAGTAAATAGAAGTTCAAGCTAAACAATGGTCATCTAAAAACACAACGGAAACACAAAATCACTTGATTGGCAAAGCACTTCTTACGTGTGGAGCCGTTAGTAAAAAACATATTATCCTTGCGGGATCAAAACATTGTATTAGATTTTCTAAACGGGAATAAAATTAATATACATATATATATTGGAGCACAACAATTTGTTTTAATTATTTGGCATTTTACAGGATTCTACATATCAATCGCCAAACACGAGGCTAATTAAATAAATCCAAATTCAGCTTCTTTCAACTTGTTTAGTTGCCAGACGAGCTTAAAGTACGTACCTCACGTAGAAAAATAACTAAACAAACATTAAAAAAAGTATGAATATATCGTCATTAATTCGTGTGACAGTTATCCTCAGCAAATGTGGAAACTACTGTAAAATGTAAAACTATGTTATTAGTGTATAAAATACATGAAGGATCATTTTAATGTAGCTGTTTATTTTAACTATTTAGATAAACAAATAAAAAACACTTATAAAGCTCTCGCTTTGACGAGTTTTCTATAAATAGGAAGTGGAGGACTGATTTCCAAAATATATTTGTAAATACTCACTAAAATTACTTTTTAATGAAAGGAAAAAGTGAGTTAGGATTACTCTAGTGATAACTGTTTCTGTAAAACTTACCTACTTTCAGCTATCCTACAATATTTATTGGAATTACATACATTGAACATTGAAAAATTCAAAAAATGTTTCATTCATCTAATTATGTGATGTGATCTGAAGAGCCAAGAGTGTCGATTAACAGTTGTAAGAAACAGAGCATGTGTTATTTATAACCTACATTTTAATGTGATGTGATCTGAAGAGCCAAGAGTGTCGATTAACAGTTGTAAGAAACAGAGCATGTGTTATTTATAACCTTCATTTTACTTTACACAACTTATACTTTTTTTACATTCCTCTTAATTAGTCCATTACGGATTTTAAGTTAGATGCCTGCTAATTTGAAATCTGCAATGGATTAATTAGACAAACGTAAAAACAGTCTGCAATATAGCATGATTTTCATCACTATTATCATGCTTATTGATATGATTTCTTCACTTGTCTTTCACTTTTATATAACCTTAATTTATAATGTATCACTACTGCTCAAAGCAAAATTATCCTACGTGTTTTTCAATTACTCACCCGTAATTGCACAGTCCAAACCTAATGGTACCGAGTAAGGTCGGTAGATGTCGTTTCCTGTCTTCTGGATCGTGATCGACCCACTGAATTGCAGCGATGAACGCTTGATCTTCAGCTTTGATGTTCAGTTCATCTGTATTCAAAAGAGTCTCCAAGTCTTCAACAGCAAGAAATGGAAACTCCGAACTTCGGTTAGATACCTAAATGCATATCATTCACTCGTTAATGTGGTAAAAAAACAGCTGCAATATTTTGCCATTCACATATAAGCGTTATTTTTAGCACTTAAGTCCGATCTCAAGTATACAAGGTTATTAATATTATTGCAAGCTATATTTTCTGTGTTTTAGTTTAGACATTTCTTTACTAAACGGAACTTTTAATCATGATGATGGAAATAATGCAACAACTATATTGTTCGGGAAAGTAAAGGATCGTAAAGTTCTATGAGATATCTAGGTATTAAACGCGTAATGAGTAATAAGATGTCAATGAGTGTTTCATTTCACTGTTACACAGTGAGAGTTAACATGTCTATTCAGTTACTTGACCGATAAGAAGTAAGTAAGTTATGTATTTGTCAGTTAGGCGTAGGTAACATTAGTATGGTAGTTTCTGTTGAAAGTGAAAATGTTTTTTGTGAACTAAGGCTCGATCATAACGTGTGTCAAAGTGAACGTAGCCATAGAAAACTCTTAAAAGAAATAAAATAATTTGTTATCATTACATGGAATTGACTTCGCATTACTTTTAGCAAGTAATCCTAAACAACTGGCCAAATGATAAAACAACGTGACAACACTTATCTAAGAAGTGGGATTATTTTGGTGAAAATAAAATAGCACTTTATATAAATGTCGACTTTCAATATAACCACATGGCCAGAAAGCAAAATAGGAAACGTTCTAGGGATAATAAGAAATAAAAAAGAAACAGAAAGAGATAGACATTTATAAAAAAAAGTACAGAAAGATTTAGAAAATTACAAGAACAAGAAAACAGAAAATTAAAAGAAATACATATAGTTAAAATTGAAAAAGATCAAGAGGTAAGGCATGGGAATATATGAGAGGAGCTAAAAGAAAGATGTAATGGTGTAAGAAGAAGAAAGAACAAATATAAACCTTACTGAAGACAAGATACACGGATTTTTAGATGTACAGAAATAATAACACAACAAACGTAACAAATATTGAAGACGCACAGAAAGATTGTAATGACCAAATTCTAAAAGTACAAAATGAGACCATTGAGATAGAAAAGAACATCAGTGAGAGAAAAAACTATCCACACATCATTCTGCAACTGATCAAGAATTCCAACCTACAAAACCATCTACTACAATATATGGAATATGAGAATCTATTTTATCTGCATCTATTATCACTACAGATATTATCTTTTATTATCTACAGATGAAGATATGAGAAATAGGTTGAAACAAAGTAGGTGTGCATATTTAAAGAAACTTTGCAGTTGGCAATGGAGTGTGAATCCATTAAAGTTGCAGAAAAACAACCAAAGGCACCACTTAGAAGTTGCAGGATCATCATATCAAGTAGTATTCAAATATATGTCCCCCCTAATGATAGTATAAAAGAACTGAAAAAAATTAGTTATACAGAATAGAAGAAATAAACCACAGGACAATAGTCATTTAAAGCTACACTTGAAATGATATATTTCCCAGAATACAGAAAAAATATACCAGAAAGAGAAATAGAAGTGGAAAACCTGATCATTACAGCTCAGCCGAAACTGTGAGGAATCAACAGCTATTAATACACCAAGAAGACAATACCATAAGGATACATTTTTCAGCCCAAACACAAAGAGACAACCAGACATTGGAAACCAGAAACCAGATGGACTTATGGAGCAAAGTTTAACTGAGAATACTTCATCTGCCACAAATGAAATAAAAAGTTCATTATATAAAGAAACGAGTCCATGTATTTAATGACAGGAAGCCTTGCAGTATATTAATCAACAGTGGATCCACAGCTTCTAAAGTTTGGCTTAATTTGTTAATAAAAGTTGGGAAATTGCCTCTAACAATGATGAAAGAAATTGAATAGATGCAACAGACATAGACATAAAGTTCCAGCAAGAAAGTTGGAAGTTACCCCTAATGAAGGACAATTGACATCAGGGAATAGTGTTTATTGAGAACTGACTTCATGGAGATATAGATGTGAGGTTAGGCTAGCTTCAAATAAATTCACAGTCTATGACCAGTAAATCCCTATGCACTACGTGATGATTACTACATAAAAAATCGAACTTCCAGTGATAACAAAGAGGGTAGTCATTGTGCCACCAAGAAGTGAAATGCTGATACCAGAATAAATTTACAACTAGTGACTGGAGTGTATTAGAACCAAACACTCCAGCACGTTATGAAATATTAGTGGCTGGAAAAACTCTCGTGGATCTGAATAATAAAGGTGTCATTAATAGGGCCAGGAACACAACAAAGCATAATTTCGAGTCAATTCTGTATGGGAAATTGCAAAATATGATGTTGTAAAGACAGTACTTCCATATCAAACAACATCAGGAGTAGTCACCTCTGAAGCAAGATGCAGGAAGTTGATGTCAAATTCTCATATAAGGACAGTTTTCCAACTCACAAAAGCTTTACGACCAGAGCTATGGAGGTTTAACAGCAGACCATAAATAACATGACTTGCTCACAAGATAACGAGACACCTTCTCCAGTGATACCACAGATGCAGTCCTAATATGTCAATTACCCAGCTGACTCCCACTTTGTAAATAAGTTTGAGAGCCTGAGGCTGTTAAATGGTTAGCAGCTATGAAGGAGCAAGGAGAATATAATTAAGTACTGGACAATGGGCATTACCTATATTATTTGTGAAGAAGGGTGGATCCACAAGGTTCTGTGTAGATTATCAAAAGGTGAATGCCAACCAAAGACTGACTCTGCTTTGGATGTTCTTTTTAAATCAAAGTAGTTTACAACATTGGATCTTAAGAGTGGATATTGGTAAGTGCTAGTTGATTAAGTAAATAGGAAAGATCGTCTTTACTGCAGGAAATGAAGTACTATTTGGATTATTTAATGCATAGAGACTAAAAGGTTGTAGTCTCTAACAGCTGGAATTTCATACTCATATACTTAGATGACATAATTATACAAAGAAAAACCTTTGATAATGCTTATAAAGGGATAAATGAAGTTCTGGATCAATTGAAAAAAGAGACTAGTAAGCTGAGTACCAAGAAGTTTGAATTATTCCATGAACGGGTGAGTTTCCTGGAACACATAGTAAGGAGGGAAGGAGTGTCTACAGGCTCATCTAAGACTGAATCTGCTCAGAATTGGCCAATGCTAAGGGACTCGTATGAGGTAAGAAATTTTGTTTGGCTATACTCTTACTTTCATAATTTTGTAAAATCATTATCTGAGATAACTTGTCTTCTACACAAATTACTTGAAAAGCCAAATAAGCATTCAATATAAAAAAAAAGAATCAACCGCAACTCCTGGATTAGCATACCCAATTCTTGAAATTTTGGTCACATTAGATACAGATGTCAGTGTTAATGTAATGGAAGCAGTGTTATCACAAAACAACATGGAAATGAACATGTGATTTCCTGCTACAGCAATGCCATAAATGCTGCAGAAATGAGGTACTGTGCAACTCGGAAAAAAGATATTAAGGGTTTTTTGAGCCCTAAGTCATTTTCATCTTTACTTATATTTGGCAAAAGTTTACACTCCAGACAGATAATGTAGCATCAAAACGGCTGTTGAATTTTTGCAATCCGAAATATAAGATATCAGGAGGGCTCCAAAAACTTCAGAAGTACAACTTTAACATTTTGCGTTGCTATGGATGGATCCATGGAAATGCTGATACACTATCATAAAACTGTGGATTAATGAAGAATGCAGGAACTGTGAAAAGATGAAGTATGAGATAACAAAGATGAACAGCCTAAAGTACAATCGTGATGTTAGAAAAACACGTAGGTTCAAGAAGTATTCATAGAAATGAATAAAAACCTTATAATTCGAGCACTTTCGAAAGCTAGGCCTTTCTTCTTCAGGAACAAACTGGGAGTTGTACAACGTAGTCCAAGAAGTTACATCCACAAGTGAAGATAGAACATTTAATGTGGTTCAACACTGAACTGACATGCAAGAGATATGAGTTTGAAACCAATTATTCAGTGGGTCAAAAATAAAGCAAAAAAAATTTCATTGCAAACAGTCACTCTATAAATCCACAAAACAAAGATGTACTGAGCACAATGTGATTTGTTGTGTGTATAAGATGGATTTTTATGTCAGAAATTGGAAGATACCAGTGGACAGGAACAACGACTACAGTCGGTACTTCCAAAGTTTACATTCTGCAGCTCTCCATCATCTCCACTACCTTCCAACAACTGGACACTTATATGTTAAAAAGATACTAGAAATAGTAGGAAGACGACATACTCGGGTTCGATGACGGAGATCTGTAGAAAGCTGGATGTAAATTGTGTGGACTATATTGTGAGTGAAAAGGTCCACAAAAGAAATAGCATGGAAGTTATAGCAGTATTGTTTTGGAGCACCATTTGAGATAGTAGTTGTCAATGTGCTTGTTAGTCTGCCACAGAGTATTCGTGGGAATAGATACATCATTACTGTGATTGACTATTTCACCAAATGGCTGGATGCATATACTGTTCCTAATCAGAAAGCAGAATCACTAACAATACAATTCGTCAATAAACTTTTTTCAATCTTTGGGGTGTCTATGGGACTTCACTCTATTCAGGAATAAAACTTTGAGCCAGCCTTGTTTGTGGAAATGTGCACTTTATATGGAAGAATACGAGAAAAAGTGGAAAGAAGATCTTCCACTATTCCTTACAAGATATAAAACAACAGCACATTAAAATAAAGGCAACCCATTAACATCACTGATTTTGGAAGAGAACTAAAGTACCATTGGACCTTCTGTATTCACATCAATAAAATAGTCACTTATCAATATTACACAAATATAGGCAAATAGACTAATAACGCCATTGATGTGATACATGACTTTATTCAGGAAATATTTAAATCAGCTAGTGATAAAATGAAAAGTTGATATGATGTTAATGTTGATAAGATTGTATTCCATCAAGGTGACATGGTGTGACTGCATCATTCCCTATGTAAAAAAGGATGAAC